GTTATGAATTAAGGGTCCATTTGTTCCAGGGAATAGGACCTGGAATTGGAATGGGCCATTCCATTTCTGGATGTTTGGTCAACCGGAATGGGAATGAGTTGGTGGAATACTGGAATGTGATTCCCCCATATGGGGGAATGGCCATTCCCGACCCCATCCCCTGGAATGCCATTCCTGTTCCACTATTTAGGTTTTTTTGGACAAAATTTTGATTTCTTAGCAGTTATGGCTGACATAGATACATAAATGCTCTCTCTCTCTCGTCTTTCTCTCCTCTGCCTCTCTCTTAGTATTCCAATCTGCCTGCTGAAGTCTTCAACTGTGTAACTGATCCAGAGAAGTTTCACATTTCCCTAGTTCAAATCTGGTCAAGTCAACTCAAGCTTGAAGAATCTCAGGCTATAGGTAGAAGGATTTGAATTTTGCTCTGCCTCTTCCCAAATTTCTGTCTCTGTTCTGGAAGCATTGGATTTTCCTTTCTTTTCCGATACAATTTTTTAGGTTTAGGGATCTCCAATTCCGTAGTCGGCATCGAGTTTTCTTGGTACAATCCCATTAAAGCTGGGATTTAGCTGCTCCTAGTACAGGATTTTGTTCTACAGATTTCGTCATTTTAATTTAGACTGAATAGAACTGGGTTTTTTGGGCTTACAGTAACTCCATTTTAGAACTAGTGCACATTGACTTGGACGCAGTAATCACCTCAAAAGGCACAATGTCATCATCTCTTCATCAAAGACAACAATAACTTTTGACGGATCCCTACCCAATTTCACTACATTCTACGAACAATTACCAAAGATCTATTTCTCCCTTCAGCCGTACTGGCTTCCCTTTTATGGTAGTTCTGGGTGTTCTTTTCCCGTGGATGGACATGACTGAAAGTTTCATTTCAGCCGATGAATTAGAAATTTTGGCTGATTCTGATTCTAGCTTTTAGTTTAACCAAACAGAAACAATCGGAATCCGATTCCAATTCTTGACTAAACCAAATAGATATTGGGAATAAATGATTCGGATTCGGATTCTGATTCCGGTCTTATCTGTGAACCAAACGGATTCTAAGTCATATTAAATTACACGAATATCATCATTACTTTTTTTTGGAAAGGTGAATATCGTCATTACTTGATGGCTGGGTTAGCAAAACCTGAACCTGACATGAACTGAAACATAAAATCCCTAAGACCCTAACCCAATCCAACACCTGAATAACCCTAACACTAACCCGACCCTATATCCTATAGGGTTAAGCTGTGTTACTGATTAAGCCAGCTCACATACATCCATACTTCTGAGTCCTGAGTGTCTGTGCTACATTCTTTCCTCAATAGGAAGGTCAATAAATTTAATGCTGTTATGACCTTTGGTTTTCTGTGTTTTTACTTAATCGGGTTATAATTAATGGGTCCAACTATGATACCTAAAGAGGCATGATATATGCAAACATTTTTTTTTTTTGATAGAGGAATAGAGTTATCATCACCTGCCATAAATGTGATGTGCGGTATCAGGTGTTATTGATAGGTTGTTGGAACATTATTGGCAGGTGATCTGGACTTAGAGGAATAGGGGTGGGATGGCTGCATGGGACCAACTTAGCATTGAGTCTGAATCTAGTACCAATACAGGGTCCCAACATCCATTGCAGCTGCACATCTTGCCATGAAAGGCAAAGGAAGCATTCGTGAATCCTGATGCACGATTGCAATGGCAATGGCGAATGGTTGTTGGGACCCTTTGGTGGGATCAGATCCAAACTTGAATTCATTGGCAATCCAATATTATTCTGCTACTTTTATATCTGTTGGGAAAAATGGGGTCACTGTAACTTTAGAGGAGAAGCTCTGAGGCGCGTCTGAAGATACTGTCTTTAGAACGTTATTTGCCCCTATTCAGTTTTACTGAGTTTGCTGCTGTGTTACAAGCAAATTCATTCCTAGGATACAACAGAGCCTTGGGCGAGAATCTACAACCAGCAAAGTTGAAGAGTCTCCAAAGAAACGTTCTGTGAGACTGTAGTAGATCGGACTGAGAGAGAGAGAGAGAGAGAATTTCGAAAATTGTGTGTTTTGGAGTTTGATTCATGCTCCTTAAATAATCTGTGAAGAGGTATAAAGAAAATGTAGGTGCTGGTTTAGAGAAGGCACCTTGAACAGTCACAATTTCAAACATTGTGATCGTTTAAAAAGTAGATAAAAGTTAGTGACTGTTAACTTTGAATTGTGCCTCTTCATCACATCCGATCAAATCGTGACCGTTGATCTCATCAACGGTGATCAACGGCGAGCAAAGTGTGCCTCTAAAGCGCCTCATTGTGCCACAAACATGCGCGCACACGCGTGTGTACGCGTTGCGCAATATCGAATCCCCATACTCTCCTCTACTAATTCTAAGGAGTGTAAACCAGTTCCTATTGAAATACTAAAAATAAAACTTATAATTTTCCAATGTGGGACAAGTTCAAAACTGGGTTTTATAAGAGAAAAATTGATTTTTCAATCAAGTGTGCAGGTGCAATTTCTCATGTAATTGACCAATCAAACCCATTAGATTTAATCTCTTATGAGATTAAAATCCAACAATATCTACTAGTTTAATCTTGTATTCCAATCTCTTTTTTGAAATTGAGTTATTTTCATATCAATTGCTCAAAGATAAAATTGTAAATTTAAATACTTTTCTTTTTTGTTATTCATTAAATTTATATTATTTCTATTGTAGAAACCAACCTCAATAGTAACTACATGGATATTTTGGACATTTTTGTAGCTCTTATCAAAGGATTGTGACAAAAGAAGTTTCAGTAGTGGTGAGACATTTCAGGGGAAGTTTCAACAATTTACCATTAATCATTTGGTGACAAAAAAAAAAAAAACATTAATCAATTGACACTCAAGGTCACTTGTTTGAGTTGCTGCAATCCATATCTTATAACAGTTGTGTAACTGTGACTATATTTAAGGCTGTGTTTAGTTTAAGGGAAGATTTTTGCGGGATGGGATGAGAGAGGGAAAACGAGTGGAAATATTTCATGTTCCATTGTTTGCTTTGAAAAGGGAATATGGTGGGAAAGTCAACCCCTACAACATAATTATTAATTAATTAGTTAATTAGTAATATTTTATTATTAATTAATTATTCAATCAGAGATTCAGAATTAATGTTTTAATTTTTATTAGTTTAAATGTTATTAATAATAAAATATTTTAGTGAAATTTATGAATTAATTAATACCTTTAATATTTTATTATTAATTATTAATCAATTAATACATTAATTTTAATAAATTATTTTATTAATTTGTTATTAAAAATAAAAATTTATTAACGGGTCATATGGGTCTAAGAGATTTGCCAACTTTGTAGAGATGCCTTAGCAAAACAGGGGGTGGGGAGAGATTCACTATGCTCTGCGGAAGTGTAAGGAAATAAAAACATTGTAAAACACATCAATCAAACACATAACCACAGCTATAACGAGCTATAGCCCAATTGGCTATGTTACTCAAGACCGAATCAGCCCCCCACAAAACTGCCCCTGGCAATGTCCCACAGCACATTCCCGCCGTGTATTGGGAACATCTCCCGATGGGGATGTGCTGTGAGACGTTGTGGGGGAAAATCTTGTGGGGGCCCGATTTGAACTCATGTTACTCTCCTCAATTTGCCACATCATGGACTCTTTCTTATGCACATTGATCCTTGATCTTCATGGTGTTTCTCCTCTTGCAAGTTTCAGCCCTTGGTCCTCCTATAAATTGAAAAATCCTAATTCTAATGCTTACAAAGGAAACCTAAATACAATTTCATCTAATGAAAATAAAATAAAAATAAAAAAATAAAAAATTACAACTTTATCAAATCGACTAACATTCTAACCATTCAAGAATGATAACAATTGCAAAATTGGAATCAAGAACATAAGAGATCAACCCAACAATCATCCAAAGTTTAAATTAACAAAATCACATTATAATTAAAGAGTTAAAACCCTAATTAGCTTCATATCACATGCCCTTAATTGTGAAACACTCAAAACAACTAAACTTTTAAAAAACATTGAAATCACCAAATTGATATGCAAGAAAAACAAAGTTTTGGGCGTCCAAATATTTTGATCCATCATGATTCAACGGCTCAAATCAAACCATGCTTTGATACCATTAAAAGATAATGATTGTCTAATGATTATATTGTGCAAAACCTCCAGCAATTAGAGAGGTAAAATTTTCAAAATTTTATAGAAACCTTAATGTTGAAACTATACGAACGAAACAATCGGTTTTTCTTCTTGGATTGTTTGGGTTATTGGACCAAGAAGGATCAAATATTTTGGACCTATATTGAGTGTATTACTTGATTCTGATGTCCATAACTGCAGAAGTCGAAGTGATATTCACATCCAAGCTTGAATCTTCCCGAATCATTGCAACCAGTTGAAGGTTGTGCAACTATGTATTTGCAGTCATGGATTTCTTTTTCAGAATTTACACCTTTCACACAGTCTGGGTGATTTTTTGACCCAAAATAAGTCTGGAACAATGCTATAAAGATTGGCTAACAAGTTAGGTTGAATGAGGTTCAAAACTTTAGCTAAAAAGGTCTCATAAGGTTGGATCGACTTCAGCAATGATGGGGAGAACTTATATGGTTTCATCCCCTCCGATTGCTCCTTATTTATAGACTATGGAGGGCTGCAAGATCTCTCTCTCTCTCTTTGTCTATCTATGACTCCTAACAAGTTTAGGATTAAGTTGGAGAGACTCTTGTTCTCCTAATCCAACCCTTTAGGTTGGAATTTAACTAAGCAAATCCTAGTCATATTAGTAGTCATCTAGCGAGTAGTTTGATTTGAATTCTCATGGTAGACCTTTAGGCTGAGTTTGGAAAGAGTACAAATGCAAATACGTAGAGTGCAAAACTTTATATTTTTGTATTATTTTCTATGTATGTATTTATGTTGTACATATTTGGAAGCAGGTAGCCACAAGGAAATCAAGGCACAAAGATAACATGTTTTGAATCTGCATCTTATTTTAACAAACATAATATCGAAGAAACAAACCACATTACACAAGTCTCACTTATATGGTGTTCTCTCCAACACACGCAATCATTCAAATCTCGAAATCTAAGAAATAAAGCTAAAAATTTCTAACAATACAACAAAACTAGAGGCCAAACTCTAGATATTTCATTTGAGAAGAAGATTGATCGCCAAAGAGACCGTGCAAATTGCCAGACCACCCAAAGCCGGGAAGCCCAACCTCCTGGTTCAGGCGCCGAGACAAGTAAACAAATAAAGCACAAACAACAGAATCAAAGCCAAACAGATTAAGAAGTTACAGAGAAAAAGCAAGCAAACTTACCCGATCTTCAAACGGTTCTTGGGTTCGCCAGTAGAGTAGCCAGTGAAGTAGAAATAGCGGCTTACTGTATAAATCAGTCCAAGTACAGAAGAAAACAGAGGATGTTTAAGACCTCCTAGAGCTATCAACATGAAGAACAAAGGCATGAACTCCAGTGAGTTCTGATGCCCTCTCTGCAGCCATGAAATCAAAAACTCATCAAACTAAAGCCCAGAAGAAAAAAAAAAATAGAGATAGGAATTTGACTTTCTCTCTCTCTCCTGAGTACCTGAACACAATTAAAGAGTTTTGCATCCTTGTTTTCAGATTCTAATGCATAGAGGTTTGGGAAAAACACCTTATACCTGCAATTTTATCAGTCACAGAGAAGGATTTAGACTGCAACTTCGAGAAGAAAAGGGCATCAAGTTTGGAATAAACAAGTGGGGTTTTTGATTCATACCTTTTCCGAGCCTTGAGAACTTGGAAAGCCATCCAGAAATTGAGAAAGGTATAGAGAACCAGCACCAGAACCACGTACCCATATTCTCTCTGTAGCAACTCCACCACTGCCATCTCTTTTGCTTCGCTGCTCCGATCTGAGTTGACCCGGTTGTAGATTTGTATTCTCTGCTCTCTAGTCTTTTGACTCTTATCTACTGTATATAAAATGCATATTGCCTGACGATGACTTTATAGGCCAAAATCTTGGTTCCGGCTGCCAAATTGGGCTGTGGTTAAAAGTACTTTTAACTCATTAAAGTCAAGTAGTTGTTTTGGGGAGGCCGAAGCTTTTATTGAGCTTCTTTAACTGGATAAGCCACTAAAAAAGACATATTTTTTGGTTTTCTCACCCCAAGGTATTTGAAAATTTGATATTTGATATAATCGAATCAAATTCAATAATTTAAATATCTAATCGATCGAATTCGGATATCCTATTCATACCGAATAATTAATCAGATTTGAATTCGGATATGACCTTATTCGATTCGATAAATATTTGAATTCGACCGATTATTTAATTCTTATATATAATATATAAAATATTTTATTTAATTTATATATAATAATTAAATTGTATAAATAAATTATATATTTATATTTTTTATATCAATAAAATATTTATTTTATATATATTTATTAATTATCTAAAATAATTAATTAATCGAATTCGAATTCGAATCGAATATTCAAATATTTATTCGGATTCAAATTCAGATATTAATTTTCAATATATGTCGGATATCAAATTGAATTCAGATATCGGATTTTCTAATTGGATTCGAATTCGGATATTGTCTGATCTGATTTGAATTCCATCCGTTTACACCCCTACTTACCAAGACCAGCGCTCTATAAGCATACATATGGTGTGGGCTCCATGTGGGTCATAAACATGGTTCTAAAGTATCGCACGAACAGGCGTATTGGGTGTTTCATACTTCATAACTTTTTTTTTATAAGTTATTTTAATTGTTTCAGGATGTCGGTTTTTAGGCTTGTCTATTAAGTGGCTAAATTCTGAAATACCCTTTATCTGAGGTTTCAGGGAACTATCAATACGATACAATACAATACACCCGATGCAAGATGTATCGAATCAAAATTTTGAACCTTGGTCCCATGGAACATTGGCATGTTCATTCTTGATAGGTTATCTAGCCTGGTATGCACGACTTAGTTTCTAATTCATCCCATTGCTCTCCATGGGCCTCACCTCATAAAGCTAGAAACTCTTAAATGAAAAGCCTCCCAAATAGGCACTCATATGGTCTAGAAGACAACTGAGAATATCGATTTCTACTGCAACCCTATCCTGTGAAATCCATCCAATGATAAAATGTGATCTTCTGATATCTGCCATATGACAAGTTTTGAAGGCTTCAGACTTTACTCATGATCTGCTGCTTTCCACACTGTGCGTAACGGGCTACGTAAGTAATCAATCATAAGTGAACACATAATTAACACTGAGTGTACAATAAAAAAAAGAAAGGAAGAATGACAGTTCAACCCAGGGTCAGAATTTGTAGGCTCAAAATACATTTGGTGTAGATGTCAATTCGGAATTGATGGCAATTCACGGGTGAATATGGGTGCATAGAATGTAGGTTTTTTGATATTTTGAATGTTTATAGATTTGTAGTAGAATTCAAAAATCTGCGTTAGGCCTCTCCGTACTTTTCTTTAAAAATAAAAACCATTACAAAAATAAAGACGAACGATGTTATTATTCTATGTATAAAAGATAGAATATCCAAAACAACCTTTATTGGGATCTCTTGAATGGTAGTGTAAGCATGAAAACTCTTCTCTTGCTTCTTGCCACCAGAAGATATATTTTAGGTAAAAAACTTAAAACATACCCTCAATTTCATAAATTGATGTAACCATACTCTAAATTCTTAAAATGGACTTAAATATACCTTTTGACTCTTTTACCCTTTTATTTTCTTTCAAATTAATTTTCAAACACTATATCTAAATTACTCAGTGTCGGTCACACTAATACCTCTCCCTCTTCCCAGCTTTAACTTCTTCCTCACAGTGTCTAAGTCTAAACTCATCACCTCATTCTTGGATTTTGTGGCTGTTGAAAAAAATACAGCTAACCAATTATTAGAAGAATGGGTAGAAGACCATCCATGGCAGGATTGCGAAGTTATATATTAGTTCTTGGATTTTACGAGTGTTGGATTCTAGAAGATTTCAAATTATTAGGAGAAATAAAATTGTTCATTCCTTTCATTTTCTAGAAAAGAGAATGGGTCATTGCAGAGATTATTCTTTATTTTTCTGATCAGAAAAAGGAGCATTCCAATGGTGGCTAATTCATTGAATAAAAATGTGAAAAAACTAAAAAATTAGAGGCAATGTTGGAATGAAAAATCAGACTATTCGACCAACCATTCCTCTGTTTTCCATTCTCCTTTTTACATATGGGTTAATAGAATAGAAATAGAAATAGAAATGGCATACAATTGGTATAATAAGCCATAAAAAAGAGGCAGTAGGTATTAGTCATTGTCTGTGGTTCAACGTAATAAAAATCACAGTGTGCCTCAGTTATATGTAACCATTAACCAACAATGTTAATCGAGTCTGGATTTTAATCATGATTCAAAGTGTATATACGAATCATGACGATTATTATTTATTAGTGTCATTGTTTCTAGTTTAGGGACAGATTTGAACTTTGGTAAAGCATTTGTCGTGAAAATATTGTATATAATGTTCTTATATAGAATATATAATACACCTGGAACGAATACATATGTTTATTTGGAAAAGCTTGTAATCACGATTCTCAAATTGAAACATCATTTATATAATAAATTAGCCCAAAGACAATATTAAAAAAAAAATCATCCATATAGAAGCACCATTTTTGTCAAATATATTACAAAGTTTTCATTAAGATATTCATAAAGAAGAGGGGAAAAAAAAACATTAAGGCTTAATCCTGGGAGGAGGCCAGAGGGTATATACAAATATGTTCAATGCACAAACCTTGTACTTTAGTGAAAATATAACGATCTTTTAAGGGCAAAAATAACATCAATACTAACTTCTGTTAGTGTTTATAGGGCTTAATACTTATTTCTCTATGGGACTACACAACCCAGGGGTAGGGATGGTAATTTTCCCCATCCCCACCGAGTACCAGGCCTCCCCGACCAGGCAGGGATGGCCGGATGGGGTTGGAGACTGCCTTAGCGGGGGACAAGGCGGGGATGAGATTAATAAGAATACCCAGTTAGGGATGGGAACGGTAATGGAGAGTGAAGTCCACGCCCCACCCGACCCTGATTATATATAATATTATTTATGCTATTCATAAAATTATTTATATTATATATATCAAAATATATTTAAAATATTATTTCTATTTTAGTTTTTATTTTATTTTAAATAAATACATTTTTGAAAACAAACTTTTAATTAAAAAATTCAAAGATTCAGGTCCTCGATGGGGAATTCGTCTCCGTTGGGGACCAGAGGTGCAGGCTAAATTTTTTCTCAACGGGGATCAAGGTCAAAGATAGGTATTAATTTAAAACTCGAGGTCAGGGACGAGGAGTATGATCCCTGCCCCACACTTACCCATTGCCAATCCTACCCGAGTGGTCACCCCCCAAACCCATAAATATAGTTCCAATAATTATGGTAATTATAAATGTAGTATCCAATAACTATGAAAAATATTAAAATTTTCCAATTATTTATTTGAATAATTGAAAGCTTTATAATTTAACTTAAACTATCAAAATCACTAATTATTGCTCAAAAATTATAGTAAATATCAAAAGTATTGTAAATGTAAAAATTAAATTATATATTGAAATTAATTTTCCACCAAAAAATTACTGAAAATGTAAAAAAATAAATTTATATTTATTGAAATAAAATTTCCAATGAAAATTATTGATAATTTTTAATTAATAAATTTTATTTATTAATATTTTAATTAATTATTCATTTTCAGTAATTAATGAATTCAATAATTAATTTTCTGAAATTAAACTACAAAAGTTGTAATTTTCAGCAAGTAATTTTTTTGTAATTAAATTTTCTAATTTACCAAAAATACGAAAAATTGTAGTTTAGGTATTGATATTTACTAAATAATATTTAATAATATCAGTAATTATTAAAAATATCAAAAATATTCCACAAATTAATTTAACCATGTTTTTGGTTTTTAGGTGGTTTATTGGGTAGGTATGATAGATTAAGACGTGTTTTAGGAGGAATTTTAGGTAGTAGAGATAGTGTAGGAGAAATTTTAGGAGGGAGAGTTGGCTAAATGATTAGGAACATGACAGAGGGGGAGTTGAAGTGGAACTCTAGTGAAGAGGAAAGGGCTGCCATGTGGCTACATGAAAGGGCTAGGAGGGGGAATGGAGGGAAGTAGGGGTGTCAACGGTATTCGAAAATCTGATTTTGAATTTGAGGTTCAACATAATCGAGTCGAATTTGGATAATTTGAATATCTAATCGGTCGAATTCGGATATCTAAGTCATATCAAATAGCTAATCGAATTCAGATATGACCTGATTCGATTCGATAAATATCCGAATTCGGTCGATTATTTAATTCTTATATATAATATATAAAATATTTAAATGTGTTTATATAATTTATATAATACTTAAATTTTATAAGTAATTTATATATTTATATACTTAATATAAATACAATATTTATTTTATATATTTATTGATTACCTAAAATAATTAATTGGTTGAATTCGAATCGAATTGAATATTTGAATATTTAATCAAATTCAAATTCGAATTTTAATTTTCAAAATCCGTCAGATATTGAATTGAATTAAAATATCGGATTCGAATTTGGATATTGACTTATTCAATTCAAATTCGATCCGTTTACACCTCTAGAGGGAAGAGAGAGAAAGAGAGAAAATTAAAGAGAAAGCAAAACAAGGGGTTTGGAGAAAAGAGAGGCATGCCGATGTGGTTTTGTTTTATGCCTATGTATTTGTAATACTTGATCATATTTATATTTGTTTTGTTTTGCACTAGTGCTTTTTTTTTTGTTCCAACAATTATTTAATTAAAGAGTATTGCTGAAAATAATCAATTCTTGAATCTTAAAGTAAAAGGAACAAAGATGAACAAAAAAGGGGATAAAACAAGACTTTTTCTA